TTATCCTTCGCCATTTTTTTCTTTTACTTCATTTTATTTATTTATTCTTCTCTCATACATTACATCCCAACGGCACCCTCCTCTCCCTCCCCTCTTCCCAGGGAAAGATCCTGAGCCTGCTGAGCTCGCCTAGATGGCTTTTAATTTCCTTTTAAAACTCCACACAGAAATGTAGTCACATCTTTAAGTCAAGAGTGGACAAGACTGTTAGATTTTCCCCCCCTTTGGAAAATATCTCTCTTCTCTTTGTATGGTTTTATTTACTTTTGTTATATTAGATAATGGGCCATCAACACAATGATTATTATTTCTTGTGTGTTTGTGTAAATATGTGTTCAGCCTTAATGCAGAGGGTGGGGCTTGGTCCTGCCCCAACTTACTATGCCAGAAATTTGACTCCCCATTTAAAAATTTACCTGCTGGGAGGAGTGGTTGGGGGTGGGGTTTGTGTTGGAGGAAGCAAGGGGGTGCGGGCTGGGTGGGAGGGAGAACTTTGGTTGGAATGGAAAATGAAATTTTAAAATATTACATAAAAAACATCTAGGCAGATGCCATTAATTACAACACATACATTAAAGGGATCTAGTTTCTTATTTGGTACAGAGCTCGGCATTCACTGCTTCATTTATTACAACAGGTAAATGTCACTCTTTCTTGTTTTCGATGGAGACATTACTCCTGCCAGGTCTAAAAAGTGTCAGGCCCCCCTCCCATCATGTGGCGCTCAGAGGGTGAGCTGAGTTCATTAGGCTTGGTGGAACACATATTACCCACTGATCATATTGCAGACCCCCTCTTAAAAATTACATTTTAACGTGTGAGTGTGTGTGAGAGAGAGAGAGTGTGTGTGTGTGTGTGTGCATGTGAAGGTGTGTGAGAGAGTGAGAGTGTGTGAGAGAGAAAATGTGTGTGAGAGAGTGTGTGTGAGAGAGAAAGAGAGAGTATGTGTGAGAGAGTGTGAGTGAGTGTGTGTGTGAGAGAAAGAGAGAGTATGTGTGAGAGAGTGTGAGAGTGTGTGTGTGAGAGAGAGAGTGTGTGTGTGTGCATGTGAAGGTGTGTGAGAGAGTGAGAGTGTGTGAGAGAGAAAATGTGTGAGAGAGGGAGTGTGAGAGAGAGAGAGAGTGTGTGTGAGAGAGAAAGAGAGAGTATGTGTGAGAGAGTGTGTGTGAGAGAGAAAGAGAGAGTATGTGAGAGAGAGTGAGAGTGTGTGTGAGAGAGAGAGTGTGTGAGAGAGAAAATGTGTGTGAGAGAGTGTATGTGAGAGAGAAAGAGAGTATGTGTGAGAGAGTGTGTGTGTGAGAGAAAGAGTATGTGTGAGAGAGTGTGAGAGAAAGAGAAAAAGAGGGTGTAAGAGAGAGAGTGAGAGTGTGTGAGAGTGTGTGAGAGAGAAAATGTGTGTGAGTGTGTGTGAGAGTATGTGTGAGAGAGTGTGAGAGAAAGAGAAACAGAGGGTGTAAGAGAGAGTGAGTGTGTGTGAGTGTGTGAGAGAGACTATGTGTGTGAGAGTGTGTGTGTGAGAGAGAAAGAAAGTGTGTAAGAGAGGGTGAGGGTGAGACTGTGTGTCTAAGGGCTAAACTGCCCCATATGTGCATAACTACCACCGCCACCAATACCTAGGAGAGAGAGAGAGAGAGAGAGAGAGAGAGAGAGAGAGAGAGAGAGCATGTGTGTGTTTATAGATTTAGGGAACCTTTATGGAGTTTTGAATGAAAAACATCTCCTCCCGTAGACTGAGCTATGTGACCACTTCATTGGTAACGCTGTTTGGGAAAACTTAGGAGGAGTGGCCTTGCTGGGGGAAGTACGTCACTGGGGTGGGCTTCCAGAGTTCACAAGCCCAGTCCACTTCCAGTTTGCCGTCCGTTTCTTGTTTGCCATTGAGGATGTGTGCTCTCCGCTTCACGCTCTTGCTGCCATGTTTTCCCACCACAGAAAGCTCTTACGCCCCCCTGGAGCCTTGAGGTAGAGTAGGCTCTTTCTGTCTTCGTTAACTGGCCTTGGCCATGATGTTTCCTCATGACCACAAGAGAGGCAACCAATACAAACGGGAACCATGTTGGAGTCTCTTTCAGAAATTAGCTACCACTCCACCTTTCGGGACAGCTGCCAGCACCACTGATGTCTCCAGGAAATGTGAACGCGCAAGTTGATGCCACTGTGCTTGTTCATGAGTGATGCCATTTGCTCTCCACAGATGGAGACGTCACTCGAGGTCACCAACATGACCAGGGTCCAGCAATTTGTGCTCTTAGGCTTGTCCACAAGGCTGGGGATAAGGGACGCCCTGTTTGTCGTCTTCCTGGCTCTCTACCTGCTGACGCTCCTGGAGAACGCTCTCATCATCTACCTCGTCTGCAGTCACAGCGAGCTCCACAAGCCTATGTACTTCTTCCTGGGCAACCTCAGCTGCCTGGAGATGTGCTACGTGTCGGCCACCATGCCCACCCTACTCGTGGGGCTGTGGACGGGGCCCTACCATATTTCCTTTACACTCTGCATGACCCAGCTCTTCTTCTTCGTCTCTCCAACGTCCTCAACCAATTTTTCTGTGACGTCTCCCCTCTGCTCAACTTGTCCTGCACCCACGTGGCCCTCACAGAGCTGGTCGACTTCATCTCGGCCATTGTCATCTTCTGCGGAACACTCCTGGTGTCCCTGGCCTCCTATTCAGCCATCGGGATGGCCGTTCTCCGAATGCCATCAGCTGCCGCCAGACGCAAGGCCTTCTCCACCTGCGCCTCCCACCTGGTGGTGGTGGGTATCTTCTACTCAGCAGCTCTCTTCATCTATTGCCGCCCCAGCCGCATCAAGTCCATGGACCTCAACAAGGTGCTGTCTGTCGTCTACACGGTGGTCACACCCCTCTGCAACCCTGTCATCTACTGTCTGAGAAATAAGGAGGTCCACACTGTGCTGAGGAAGACTCTCCGTTGGCCTTGACCATTTCTATACATGAACCTCTCATGCCTTCCTTCAAATCTTTCATGGCCCAGATATGAGTAACCTTTAAATATTAACTAAAGCCTATAGAAAATATCTTCCCGAGGAGTTCAGCCCATAAAAATCACTAAGAGAAAAATCAATAAGAGAAAATGACCGGAGCTCATGAGTAATTACGCATATTCGCTCGCCCGTATTTTTGTATGCTTAGATTCACCCACAGGTGCATATTTCACAGTGCTGTGATTTTTTATTGATAATTGGCTAATAAATATTTATCAAGTGAGCCT